TTGATTATACTCTAGACTATAAACTAGGTTTTACACTAGACTATATACTAGAGTATAGACTAAACTATACACTGCATCATACACTAAATTATTGACTAGACTATACCCTAGACTATACACAAGATTATACACTGGATTATAGACAAGTCTATAGACTAGACCATAGACTAGACTATAGACTAGACTGTAGACTAGACTGTATACTAGACTGTAGTCTAGAATAGACTATAGACTAGACTATAGGCTAGTCTATGGACCAACAAAACACAACATCATAAACATAATTATACACTAGGTTATACTTTAGACTGTACATGTAGACTATACACTAAATTATACACTAGACTTTAAACTATATTATACACTAGACTATAGACCAGCCTATACACTACATCATACACTAGATTATAAACTAAACTATAGACGAGACTACAAATTAGACTATAGACTAGACCATAGATTAGACTATGACTAGACTATATACACTAGAATATAGACTGGACTATACACTAGAGTATATACTAGGCTATAGACTAGACTGTAAACTAAACTATACACAAGAGTATACAATAGAATTTACACTATACAATACATCGATTCTCTTGAAAAATACACCCTTTATCTGTCATTTGTACTTTTGGATGGGTGTGTATTTTACAACAGTCGTAAATATAAATGCATTTTGTTGGTTTGTCTGTCGTTGTGTCAGCTGCATAACAAAGTTAAATGCTAGGAACTATCACCACAATTCAATGTTTCGATATAAGTTCCTTTGTACAAATTCACATTTAAAATTGTGTTAAATGCCATTTGAAATCTTTATTCAATCATTATTCAGGACTTATTATCTGGAAAATCTTTTATGATTTCTGTAATTAAGAAATATAATAACATTTCACGGAATAGGTTTGCAGTATGGAATTAACACTTTCGATATGAACACAGCCACTTTCTCTACATGTTATGGGAATTACATAAACTTTCCCTCATTCGGTAACTTTAAAATCTATCCCACTTATTACTTCCACTTCGTTGAAAATTCATAGTCAGGTACTTTAACAAATTATTTTCTGTATATTTTTCTCTCTTTCTTTCTAATATATTTTACACTCTCATAGGTTCTGCCTTTTATCGTAAAGGTGGCAGTCAGGTAGATATTTGTTATTTTTACAAAATTTACTAGATATTTGCTGAATCGTAAAAAAGTTTACCATTTTCCTAATACTTTGAAACTATCTTATATTATAAAAGTTTTTGTTAAATAGATATTGGCAAAAAAAGTAATAAGAATGATTTAGGTGTTGGAAGGAAATTTATAAAATTAGAGCAAAGACATGTCCGGGCATGCTATTTTTAGTTGTCACATATAACAGCAATTTTTAATCATTAAAACTAAGAGATACAATCTAGCAAACACTTGGAGTTATATTATTAAAAGCTAACAGAACAGTAGTAATTTTCAGTTAGAAAAGTTGCAGGTGTATTGAGAAAACTTTAATTTCATAAAATATCATTTATTTGGCAGTTTTTATCTTTTTGAATATTCGTACTGTTCTAACTATTGCCATTAGAGTGGCCCAAACAATAATTTGATATATACTTTTGTTAACATAAACTGCAGACTGAAAATTTTTGTTAACATGCGCTTTCCGATACGTATGAGTATTTTTTAATTAACAAAAATACTCATACGCCAAGTAAACAATTTCGAATGAAAATCTGTACTTAATCTACAAATTTGTTAAAACACTTGGCACTTTCATCTAAGTGCTTTACTTCAGCTGCACATGTACTAAATATTCAAACGAATTACTAATGTATGTGCTAATAATTATATTTATTGATTTTTTAATTGATTTCTACATGATTAATCCATTAGCATGTTCAAGCGAAAAGGTATCAATGAAGCTGATTTCAAACAAAAGAATATAATTAGACAAACGAAATAGCAAAAGTCAATAAATAATTGAAGAAAAATAAAGGTTGGATATTCATCAGGGCCATTACTTTAACACAATTTTTTAAAATATTAAATAGGCAATATCTATTCCATATAGAGTATCAAAAATACGTCAACTAGAAAATAAACTAGACTTTAAACTAGACTATAGACGAGACCATATAATAGACTATAAACTAGTCTACAGACGAGTCTACAGACGAGACTATAGACTAGACTATAGATTAGACTATAGACTAGACTATAGACTAGACTATAGACTAGACTATAGACTAGACTATAGACTAGACTATAGACTAGACTATAGACTAGACTATAGACTAGACTATAGACTAGACTATAGACTAGACTATAGACTAGACTATAGACTAGACTATAGACTAGACTATAGACTAGACTATAGACTAGACTATAGACTAGACTATAGACTAGACTATAGACTAGACTATAGACTAGACTATAGACTAGACTATAGACTAGACTATAGACTAGACTATAGACTAGACTATAGACTAGACTATAGACTAGACTATAGACTAGACTATAGACTAGACTATAGACTAGACTAGACTATAGACTAGACTATAGACTAGACTAGACTAGACTAGACTATATACTAGACTATAGACTAGACTATAGACTAGACTATGACCTAGACTAGACTATATACTAGACTATAGACTAGACTATAGACTAGAATACAGACTAGACTATAGACTAGACTATAGACTAGACTATAGACTAGACTATAGACTAGACTAGACTATAGACTAGACTATAGACTAGACTAGACTATAGACTAGACTATAGACTAGACTATAGACTAGACTATAGACTAGACTATAGACTAGACTATAGACTAGACTATAGACTAGACTATAGACTAGACTATAGACTAGACTATAGACTAGACTATAGACTAGACTATAGACTAGACTATAGACTAGACTATAGACTAGACTATAGACTAGACTATAGACTAGACTAGAGACTAGACTATAGACTAGACTATAGACTAGACTATAGACTAGACTATAGACTAGACTAGACTAGACTAGACTAGACTAGACTAGACTAGACTAGACTAAGACTAGACTAGACTATAGACTAGAGTAGACTATAGACTAGACTATAGACTAGACTATAGACTAGACTATAGACTAGACTATAGACTAGACTATAGACTAGACTATAGACTAGACTATAGACTAGACTATAGACTAGACTATAGACTAGACTATAGACTAGACTATAGACTGGACTATAGACTAGACTATAGTCTAGACTATAGACTAGACTATAGTCTAGACTATAGACTAGACTATAGACTAGACTATAGACTAGACTATAGACTAGACTATAGACTAGACTATAGACTAGACTATAGACTAGACTAGACTAGACTAGACTATAGACTAGACTATAGACTAGACTATAGACTAGACTATAGACTAGACTATAGACTAGACTATAGACTAGACTATAGACTAGACTATAGACTAGACTATAGACTAGACTATAGACTAGACTATAGACTAGACTATAGACTAGACTATAGACTAGACTATAGACTAGACTATAGACTAGACTATAGACTAGACTATAGACTAGACTATAGACTAGACTATATAGACTAGACTATAGACTAGACTATAGACTAGACTATAGACTAGACTATAGACTAGACTATAGACTAGACTATAGACTAGACTATAGACTAGACTATAGACTAGACTATAGACTAGACTATAGACTAGACTATGGATAGACTAGACTAGACTATAGACTAGACTATAGACTAGATTATAGACTAGACTATAGACTAGACTATAGACTAGACTATAGACTAGACTATAGACTAGACTATAGACTAGACTATAGACTAGACTATAGACTAGACTATAGACTAGACTATAGACTAGACTATAGACTAGACTATAGACTAGACTATAGACTAGACTATTGATTAGACTATTGACTAGACTATACACTAGACTATAGACTAGACTATAGACTAGACTATAGACTAGACTATAGACTAGACTATAGACTAGACTATAGACTAGACTATAGACTAGACTATAGACTAGACTAGACTATAGACTAGACTATAGACTAGACTATAGACTAGACTATAGACTAGACTATAGACTAGACTATAGACTAGACTATAGACTAGACATAGACTAGACTATGACTAGACTATAGACTAGACTATAGACTAGGACTATTGACTAGACTATAGACTAGACTTATAGACTAGACTATAGACTAGACTATAGACTAGACTATAGACTAGACTATAGACTAGACTATAGACTAGACTATAGACTAGACTATAGACTAGACTATAGACTAGACTATAGACTAGACTATAGACTAGACTATAGACTAGACTATAGACTAGACTACTCACTAGACTAGACTATAGACTAGACTATAGACTAGACTATAGACTAGACTATAGACTAGACTATAGACTAGACTATAGACTAGACTATAGACTAGACTATAGACTAGACTATAGACTAGACTATAGACTAGACTATAGACTAGACTATAGACTAGACTATAGACTAGACTATAGACTAGACTATAGACTAGACTATAGACTAGACTATAGACTAGACTATAGACTAGACTATAGACTAGACTTGAATAGACTAGACTATAGACTAGACTATAGGACTAGGACTATAGACTAGACTATCGACTAGACTATAGACTAGACTATGACTAGACTATAGACTAGACTAGACTAGACTATAGACTAGACTATAGACTAGACTATAGACTAGACTATAGACTAGACTATAGGACTAGACTATGACTAGACTATAGACTAGACTATAGACTAGACTATAGACTAGACTATAGACTAGGACTATAATAGACTATAGACTAGACTTAGACTAGACTGTAGACTAGACTGTAGACTAGACTGTAGACTACACTATAGACCAGACTTTACCCGTATCAATTCTTTATGGACCCTTTTGCTTCTATGATTTTTTTGCTTTAAATTTAATTTAATACTCACCTCGATCCTGTGCCGTTAAGAGTGAGGATGAAAGTGTCTGTTTTAGTTTGCCGAATGTGCCTCCAGTATCTGTGGTGTTTTGTGTGGAAGCATTTTCATCAGTCGCCACCATCTGGAACAAAAGAAATGTAAATATATTGCTTATAAATATAAATACTACAGCAATCATTTAAACAAAAATTTTAACTTGAGGCTTAGCTCGAGTAATAAGCTTTAAAATCATTCTTATGCACATAAAACTCGTTTTGATATCCATAATAATACAGTTTAAAAAAATTAGAATTAATCTATTGAATACTATTAGGATTGGTCTATTGAAGGACTTAGCTTTTAGATTCTTCTTCGAATTTTATTTTAAAATTCAAGAATATCTTAAACATTCACTTGTCCTTTTCCATTGAAAACTTTAATTAAAAGCAATTGGGAATTTCAAAGACCTTTTTGCTTAAAACTACAACATTCTAAGAATTCTCTATTTGAACCTAATATACTCATATTGTATTTCCAAAAGATAAATTTCTAAAACATTTCCCTTTCCTTTTAATAACAGTGATAATGTTTGAAATACTACAACAGCAGTATTCGTAATTTTATTTCATAAATTTAATGACACCTCAGTTAGTGTTGTGAATACAAGGTTGTTTATATATGAAAATCACTGTCATTATTTTATTAAGTGGAAATTTCCTTGTGTTATATTAACAACAAGAAAATAATTTTATACCTCTAGAGTATCCAAAGAAAAAAAGAAAACGCAATAAACACTCCACCCCACCCACGACCAAGTCGCCAAACATAGACACCAACACTCAAGTCAAGATGAGAAATAGAAAATCTAAATTTAGTAAAACTACTTTACACTCACACTTATATTTGTAATTGTAGCTGTAAAGTACATACACATGCACACGCAAAAGAGTGAAAGACAAGCGGAGGGAGCTCGATAAAAGTTACCGAAGAAGAAAATATCATTGTATACCCTAAGGCATACTATTATTTACATTTTATGTAGCATACTTTGTGGAGCTTTAACAAAGAACACTAGCAAACTCATAAAGTTAAATGCTACAGAAACAAGTACCTTTATACTAAATAAATAGTGAAAAGTGAATTGAAAAAGATGTATTTTTTTCTTTAAACAAAAAAACTACATTTTGTTTTTGGCCTCGCAAAGCGAAATACATTTTAAAACTTTTGTTTACTCGCAAAGGTTACTGCGTTTTGTGTTGGTATAAAAACTTAACAATTTTTTCTTTCTATAGAAATATTTCATAACCATTTCAACTTTTGTTTTTTTATAAAAATATCTCACAATTTTTTCTTTCGCAAAAACATTTTATAATATTCAAATTGCAAAATAATTTATGTAGAAAACAATAACCGCAGTATTTGCCTACAAAGTGAGATCAAGTGAAAATGAGAATTTGTTTTGCTATATAATGGAAATGTCGAAAATAACTATTTGGCCATCTGGTACACAGTGTGCATTTAATACCAAAAATAATCGAAACTGCAAAAAAAAAACAATGTACGTGAAACATACTTATACAATAGCGAGGTTAATAAAGTATAGATTACGTAGATTCGAACGGGACAATGCTCCACACTGTCTTCATTTTATAAATCAGAAAGAACATCCATATGTTATGTTTTACTATTCTCGATTTGCTCACGAAAATCTTAGAAGTAACCTGAATATAGCTTCCGAACCATGCGATGAATTAACTCAATAGGCTTAGGGTTGTTGAATGACTAACTAACTCTTGGAACACAAACTTCCTATAAGGTGACCCTAACGAGAGGCAGGACAAGATGTCTCCTCAAAATGAGCAAGTCTGGGGTTAGTATGATGGTACGTAATCTGAGTGGACACCGAAATTAGATCGAAATATCTTGGGAGTGATATTTTCTGGGTATGAAATCCTCGATTGGAAAATTCGTAGTTAGTTAGTTAGTTAGTTAGTTAGTTAGTTAGTTAGTTAGTTAGTTAGTTAGTTAGTTAGTTAGTTAGTTAGTTAGTTAGTTAGTAGTTAGTTAGTTAGTTAGTTAGTTAGTTAGTAGTAGTAGTTAGTTAGTTAGTAGTTAGTTAGTTAGTTAGTTAGTTAGTTAGTTAGTTAGTTAGTAGTTAGTTAGTTAGTTAGTTAGTTAGTTAGTTAGTTAGTTAGTTAGTTAGTAGTTAGTTAGTTAGTTAGTTAGTTAGTTAGTAGTTAGTTAGTTAGTTAGTTAGTTAGTTAGTTAGTTAGTTAGTTAGTTAGTTAGTTAGTTAGTTAGTTAGTTAGTTAGTTAGTTAGTAGTTAGTTAGTTAGTTAGTTAGTTAGTTAGTTAGTTAGTTAGTTAGTTAGTTGTTAGTTAGTTAGTTAGTTAGTTAGTTAGTTAGTTAGTTAGTTAGTTAGTTAGTTAGTAGTTAGTTAGTTAGTTAGTAGTTAGTTAGTTAGTTAGTTAGTTAGTTAGTTAGTTAGTTAGTTAGTTAGTTAGTTAGTTAGTTAGTTAGTTAGTAGTTAGTTAGTAGTTAGTTAGTTAGTTAGTTAGTAGTTAGTTTAGTTAGTAGTTAGTTAGTTAGTTAGTTAGTTAGTAGTAGTAGTTAGTAGTTAGTTAGTTAGTAGTTAGTTAGTAGTTAGTTAGTTAGTTAGTTAGTTAGTTAGTTAGGTAGTTAGTTAGTTAGTAGTTAGTTAGTAGTTAGTTAGTTAGTTAGTTAGTTAGTAGTTAGTTAGTTAGTTAGTTAGTTAGTTAGTTAGTTAGTTAGTAGTTAGTTAGTAGTTAGTTAGTTAGTTAGTTAGTTAGTTAGTTAGTTAGTTAGTTAGTTAGTAGTTAGTTAGTTAGTTAGTTAGTTAGTTAGTTAGTTAGTTAGTAGTTAGTTAGTTAGTTAGTAGTTAGTTAGTAGTTAGTTAGTTAGTAGGTAGTTAGTTAGTTAGTTAGTTAGTAGTTAGTTAGTTAGTAGTTAGTTAGTAGTTAGTTAGTTAGTTAGTAGTAGTTAGTTAGTTAGTTAGTTAGTAGTTAGTTAGTTAGTTAGTTAGTAGTTAGTTAGTTAGTTAGTTAGTTAGTTAGTTAGTTAGTTAGTCAACATATCCACTTCATTAATTAAGAAATGTTTAAGGGGTTTTGCTTGTCATTGTGTGTGTGCGTATGTATGTAAATAACCAGAACATTTTCCTTCAATTTTCCTACAAAGTGCCGACTTTTAACTATACGACCAATATTTGAAACTTTTTTCCCTTGTCAGGACTTTAACAACGAAATGTAGAGGACATGGATGGTGACAACAATAAAGACTACAGAATGATTATGGTGATGATTATGAAGACAACAATGATGTCGTTTATTATTATAGTTGTAAAATTTTGCTGTGTTCTGCATTTTGCTTAAGGATTATTTTTTATTTTCTCTTAACTCATATTGTTAGTTTCATGAGCCTATTTTCAGTTTTAGACTGTTTTTGTGCTTTATAACAGTAATGGGCATCTATTTTAAATTATGCCTTAGTAAAAAAAGACCGTCTGAAAATACACCTGTATGTAACTATAAATTATTTCATAGTTTTGTGTGTTTGTTGCCCATCACTGCTTTTTATTATAATACATTTATTCTTTGTTGCTTTAGTTGTTCTTCTTTATGCTGTTGTTTAAAAGTCACTTTTGATTTTTATGACACTTTATAATCATAAAAATATATGATGTACATACATATGTATACATATATATATACCTTATACATATATGTATATAGGTGTGTAAATTCTTAACATTTTTAAAGTAATGTACATTTGTCTACCATTGTTTTCTGCAGCAAGAATGTGAATAAGTTATCATTCTGTCACAATCACCTGCTAATGTTTGCACTTTTTTACTATATTTTCTTCATATACATAGACAGACGGACTATCACTATGTCTTTTCTATGCCCAGTAAAAATTTAAAGGGCCTCCTAAAGAATCATATTTTAATCGCTACAAGAGGAAATTTTCATCGCAAAAGAAGTAAAATATATATAAATTTATAACAAAAGTGCGGATTCCGAATTTTTTTTTCCAATTTTGTTAAATATTTTAATTTCAAAAAGTAATATGAAATTTTTCCTAAATAAAAAACTCTTTAAATGTTTGGATGATGCTGAACCACCAAAGTTACTTATATGCACATATACATACATATGTAAATAAATATTTAAATGCTTATTTAGATTTTCACTTCTTTGGTTGATTTTTAGCTGGGTTGTCAATCATTTGTTTTTTTAATATACCTATTATTAAAGCTATTGTCATAATATATACTTAACTCTTAACTTAACTATTTATTTTCATATATATTTTTATGTTCGTATTACAAACAAAATAAGCTTCTTTTTCAATTTAAACGAGTTTTAACGAAGTTATAAGGGTTTTAAGTTTCTTCAAGGTTCTCGGTCAAAATATCGAATTTTGAAGGGGAATATGAGTGATCACAAAATAAGCTTATAAACGTGTTTTAACGAAGTTATAAGGGTTTTAAGTTTCTTCAAGGTTTTCGGTCAATATATAGATTTTTGAGGGGAATATGAGTGATCACAAAATAAGCTTAATTTTCAATTTAAACGTGTTTTAACGAAGTTATAAGCGTTTTAAGTTTCTTCAAGGTTTTCGGTCAAAATATCGATTTTTGAAGAGGAATATGAGTGATCACAATATAAGCTTATTTTTCAATTTAAACGTGTTTTAACGACGTTATTAGGGTTTTAAGTTTCTTCAAGGTTTTCAGTCAAAATATCGATTTTTGAAAGGAAATATGAGTGATCACAAAATAAGCTTATTTTTCAATTTAAACGTGTTTTAACGAAGTTATAAGCGATTTAAGTTTCTTCAAGGTTTTCGGCCAAAATATCGATTTTTGAGGGGGAATATGAATGATCACAAAATAAGCTTATTTTTTCAATTTAAACGTGTTTTAACGAAGTTATAAGCGATTTAAGTTTCTTCAAGGTTTTCGGCCAAAATATCGATTTTTGAGGAGGAATATGAGTGATCACAAAATAAGCTTATTTTTCAATTTAAACGTGTTTTAACGAAGTTATAAGCGATTTAAGTTTCTTCAAGGTTTTCGATCAAAATATCGATTTTTGAAGGGGAATATGAGTGATCAC